CTCTGGAGCCTGGGGAGGATGACAAAAGCAAAGTAAAAATGGGGGGGGGGAGCGCTGGTAGTGCGTGCAGGAGCACTGGGTTGTGCACATAGCATTATGGGTGTGGCACGCCTGCGCGTGACCCTCCTGTGCTCCCACCGCTTTTGGCACGCGAGCCAAAAAAGGTTCACCATCATTGCCATAGTCTATTGCCGCCTCCGCAAGCCCCATTTTCTCCATTTGTTGCAAAGAGGTAAATTGGTGGGAGGCAGAGGCCAAAGGGTAGGGGCCAGTGAGTGAGCGGGGCTACATTCGGTGTATAAGATGTACCTAAATTTTCGCCCTCTTTTATGGGGAAAAAGGGGCGGCTTATACTCCGAAAAATACACTAACAGGCACACTCTTCGCCACAACTGCCACCTGCTCTTTGAGCAGGAGTCATGAGTCCAGAAGAACCCCCAGATTGCGCACAGGGTCTGTTTCGGGTAGTGCCACCCCATCCAAGACCAGCAGTGGCAATTCTCCCTTGGCCAACGAACCCCAAACCCAGAGCCACTCGGTCTTTCCAGAGTTTAGTTTCAACCTTTAACTTTAACTTTTAATAGATTTATATGCCGCCCAATCCCGTAGGACTCCGGGTGGCTGTTGCTCCCCATCCAGCCCCTCACAGCCTCCAGGCACTGCGAGGAGGAGGACACAGCATCGCTTAACCCACCGCAGAGGAAGAAAATGAGCCAAGATAGAACAAAACCTCCCATCCCTCAAAGCCGCCCCAGGAGAATACCATGGTCGATGGTATCGAAAGCCACGAAGTGGTCAATTAGAGAAAAGGTGGATGCACTACCTTCATCCAGCTCTCGCCAGAGAACATCCAGAAGCGCGACCAATATCGTTTCTGTTCAAAATCCAGGCTTGAATCCTGACTAGTAGGGATCTAGATAATTCGTTTCATCCAGAAACCTCTGGATCTGCCGCGCAACCACCTTCTCAACCACCTTCCCCAAAAAAGGAAGATTGGGGACAGGTTGGAAATTATCCAAGAGGGTGGAATACAGCGATGGCTTCTTAAGAAGAGGGTGGAGCACAGCCTCCTTAAAGTGCTGGGGCACTACCCACTCCTGTAAGGAAGCATTAATCACCACCAGAGTCCACCCACCTGTCACCTACCAGGGGGGACATGGGTCTAAAACACAGGTGCTTGTACGCATACCCTCTAGGATCCTGTCCACTTCCTCAGGAGCGACTGGGTCAAGCCAGATAACAGAGCAAGAAACTGCCTAAAGGGCTTCCACTGGACCAGAAATCATGCCAGCATCTAACTGGGAACAAAGTTGAGTGATTTCACCTTACAGAAAATCCACAAATTCCTCAGCATGCCCCTTCAGGTGGACCCCAATCTCTTCTGTCCCCAGGAGGAGGAGCCTCACCTAAGGAGGGCCGCTGGGCAATTATCTACAGCTTCAATTATTGTAGAGAAGTATAAATAGGAGGAAGTAGTGTATAGAAGAGAAGAGAGAGTGAAGGTAAGACAGATGGGTAATCAGAGGATCTTAAATTACCTCCTGAGGCGTCTTGACTTTGATCTTCCCAAGGAATCCTCCTGAAAAATAGCTCCTGAGGGGGATTTGATGGATTCTTCTTTCCCTCAGGATCTCTGATCCCCACAGTGCAGCCCTTCCAATAGGAGAGGAAGGAAGAAAGAAGCAGAATTAAGGTACATCACACGACATAAAGTGGATTCCTATATTCAGAACACAACCACATTGTATTCAAACACATTCTCTATTTTCTTTTGAGCTCTCACCTTTAACTCGACCTGCTCCTCCGGCTGGCTGAGGAGGAAGCCTTCCACCAGGGCCACTGCTTGGGAGCTGGTCTCTGCTCCACACTCCCGTACCCAGCTCTCCATCTCTGGGGGCAGAAGAGCCAGGAACTGCTCCAGAACCACCAGGTCCAGCATCTGGGCTTTGGTGTGCTTTTCTGGTCTCAGCCATCGTCTACTAAAGTCATGGAGTCGGCTGCAAA